CGGCGGCCCGCTGTCGGCAGCAGGCCTGCAGGGGCGCCGCCGTGCCCACGGATTCGGCGGCGTTTCTGCGGGTGATCTGCCGATCCTGCGACTTCGGCGTACCTGCCGCCGAATTACCACCGAAACCGCGGGACTGGCAGACCTCCCGCAGAAATGCCGCCGAATCCGTGGGACCGGCGGACCTCCTGCAGGCATGCTGCCGAAGGCTGCCTGACTGCCGCCCTCACAGCGACCGGCAGGCTGCCCCCCGCAGCTTGCCACCCCAGGCACGCACTTGCTGCGCTGGTGTCTGGAGCTGCCCCTGGTGCCACTGTAGGGCTTCAGTGAAGATGGGAGGGGTTCTCCCATTAGTGTAGATAATCCATCTCCTTGAGAAGTGGTAGCTAGGTTGACAGGAGAATTCTCCAATCAACATAGTGCTGTCTACACTGGGGGTTAGGTTGATGTAACTGCATTGCTCAAGGGTGTGGATTTTCACATCATACCAACCTGCTTTCCCACTGTAGACTAGGCCTAAGAGTCTTTAGCCCTTTTGTTGAAGTTTTCTCGATCCTGATGTAGGGCGTTTCCACTTGTAAAATCCACCCAGAGCCCGTCTGCTCTCAACGTGTCACCTCTTTGGGAGGCAGGGGCATACCAGTTCCTGCTCTTTGCACTGATTAATGTCCCTCTCCTGCATGGCCATTCATAGTCACAGAACCTTACAATACGGAGCACAGATATTAGAAGTGAGATTAATGCAGGGAGCAGTTCACAAGCATTCAACAGTCTCTAACCACTTTCTTATCATTCTAATACCTCGTCTGTCACTATTAACTGCCCCCTTCAGTGTCCATTTCAGATGTGGGCACCTTAGCGTGAGCTGGCGCCTGGCCTGCCCGCGCCATAGTGGACATGAATGTTATTAGGTTTGTGTTCCTTGGAGTGCGAGAGAAGCTCTGATGAAAGTACAAATACAGCCCTGAGGGGCTGACTGGCTCCCAAAGAAGACAGTGGTAGAAGGCCAATTGATTTCAGTGGGATCAGTCCCTGTAGCGTATATGGGTCATCCGTGCATTCGAGGTGAGTGGATGTAGGGAATCTTCAATCCAGGAGCCGTTTTGCCAGCTAGGGCGGAAAACGTTTTCGGTGTCTCCACCCCAGTGCCTGAGGGGCACAGCAGCATGGTGCTCCTGGAAGTTGGTGCCCAGGGCTTCTGCCATGCTCACCTGCCCCTGCAGCTGGCCCTGAACAGCATGGCCTTCCCTCTAGGCAGAGAAGCATGTTGGTACTTTAACATCAATTTACATGGGGGAGGAGGCAGGAAGTCAGTGTTAAACTAGAGAAAGAAAAGTTCACACACTCAAACCGATTGGCAGCTCTGAAAACTAGCTTGCAATTCTTCAGACAGCCTGGCTGGGCCCTTTACTTCCTTGGGAGGTACTTTGGGGGAATAAACGATAAAGCCCTTGGAAAGAAATGCATATTTCCATTCTTCAGGCGTATCCACATTCATTGTCTCTCTTCACACTTTAGGAAACTTTGGTGCTAAAATTCCTATGGGGATTTCCTCAATGATGTCACCAGAGAGACCGGTACGTAATGTCTTGAGTTATTTTCCACCTTTCACATGCAGAATGCTATGTAGATGGGAGTGTTGTCTAGGGGTTATAGCAAGGGGCGAGGACTCAGGACTCCTGGGTTCTAATCCCAGCTCTGTCCCAGGTGTCTTGTCTTATCGTGGGTGAATCACTTTACTTGTCTGTGGCACAGGTGCCCCTCTGGTAAGATGGGGTTCATCTCTGTCACCTCCCTCCTGGGGCAGTTGGGAAGGTTCATCAGTGGTGGTAGTGGACTTTGTGAGCCGTGTTGGGAGCGCTGCATGTATGTGCCTCCTCCTAAGCATTGATTGGGTTGGGAAGCTGAAGGAATTTCCCCCAGTCAAAGGACCCTGTAATGAAGTATCTGAAGGCTGCAAATCACTGGCCAATGGAGGGTGGTGCAGCAGGTGTGACAAACCAATAATGGGGTGAAATTATGATAAGAAAATCCAGTCTATTAGACTGAACAGTTTCTTGACAGGAAGTTGGCCAAGGGACAGGGGTGGAAGCCCTGTGGCTCAGGGCACCCCGAACTAGGCTGGACAAAAGACCCTACAAACATACAGAATGGAACAGTCCTGCACTGGGAGTGGCACCAAACAGCCTAATGTCTTCACGTCTAGGATTCTCAGACCGCCCCAGGAGTGCTCCTCAGGCAAGGGTGAGCTGTGGACTCAGACTGGGGGTGGAATTTCACTCCCTGGCGTAAACGGGCCCATGTAGCCCCTTTTACAGACATCGCCATCCTTCATGGTGACGGGCTAGCTCGACCGCCATCGTACTGGGCTTGCTCGAAAGCAATCAGTGCACCTGCTGCCCGTGCGAAAGAGTAAGGAGACATCTGTCTATCCCTGCCCTTGGAAGATAAATAGTAGAAAGAGAATCAACTCTCTGTGCATTTGGGGGATGCCCAGCTGTCCAGCTCCTGGATATAAAGGGCCTCTGTGCTGTTAGACCCATATGTGCTAACTCCTGGACTACAGAGGGGAGGGAGAGATGGGGGTTGGTTTGACACATGAGCGGTGGGGGAGTCTCTCTGCTGCATGTTGATTCCTGGTTTTGTTGGTAACCTTTGTGGTCTCTTTTCTCCATTCTGGATCAGATGGGAATCAACTCCCAGGCCTACTTATAAAAAGGGGCATCCATAAAAGCAGGAATGGAACTGAGCAATCAGAATGCCAAGACAGAAATGAGGTCATGGCTACAAGTCTCCCCAAAATGAAGCAAGTTAGAAAAGGGCTTGTTGTGTGTTTCAGCACCCAAGTTACAGTCTGTTCAGTTGGCCCATTTCATTCCCCAGGCAGCAACTAATTTTCTACCAAGTTCAACAAGGCATGCCATAAAGTGGAGAATAATTTAAATGTGACTACTCTGATACCACTTCCATTCCCACCACTGAAATGATCGTGCAGTGTTCTGTGCACTTGACATAGAAGTTAACTGTAGTTTCTTCCGAAAAAAACATAATGCTACTTTCATGTGAGGAATTTACCAACGGGTCTAGATATACACCAACATTTCTCTTTCTCTCTGTCGTCCCCTTTATTGCTTTTGAAGTGCTATCTTCCTTATCTTACAGATAACATTCTGTTCTATTTCAAGGCAACTTAGTAAAACCAGTATTTGTTGTCTCTCATGGTTTATTTTTGTTTAATGTTACTATTCTTCCGGGTGATAAATACCTGGCAGGTTTTCCAATAGGTGCTTTTCTGACCCAGGCAGGTGCTGGCTCTGTAAATTAGAACCATTGCTAAGCTACTTGGCACAAAATATGAGACATGGGCTAAAGAGATTAACCAGGAGGCTTGAGTTTTCTAATGCACAGGGCATTAATAGAGGAGCCTGTCGATTTCCTAAATGCCAAGGCCACAGCACTTCCTAGCTGGTAGACTGGGGCAAAGAGAGAATTAGCTTGAGTCCATGCTGGGGTCACTCAGAGCTTCTCTTTTTGTTTGTTACTTAAATATTTTTATTTAAAATGTTTTATTTTCCTTTTCTAAACAATACAAATTCAACAACAATCAAAATACAAAATTCCCTGGTACCCCAGGAGCCAGTGTGGGAGGAAGCACGGCTGAGCCAGTTTTTGTTTAAATATTCGTTTGTCTTCACAAGTGACTCTTTTGCAAGTCTTTCATGTTCTCTCGTCATGAACGTTTGAGCTCCACAAGCGAATGCTCAGGAAACGTGAATGTTGAAGCTGATATATTTGCTGTAAGCGTGTTTTGAATGTAAGATTTGTGCGTTGTTGCAGCTTGTGCTGTGTGTGTCAATGCAGCTTGCAATTGACTACCTAGAGCCTGCGGTGCAGGTTAGTTACATAAGTCACTGGTATTGTTTCAGCTCCCTGACTGAATCCCTTATGTAAGTGACGGCGTGAGCTGTGAATTCAGAATGGTACCGTTGAATGTAGCCTTGTTCTGATTAAGAAGCCATTTTTTACAATAAGTCTGAAAACACTTAAAATGACGAAATGCTGTGCTCCGTTAGGTGCAAACATCAGAGTGATTTTCACTGCATTTCATCCACGTTTTACTTGACACATTTTTTGGTGAAAGGTTTTGGGGATTTGGCACCTCCCAATGCGTTAACCCCCCCTAGCCTCATGGTGCCGGCTCATTGTGCCCCTTGTCGTGTGGACTGTGCAAACGCTGCAGCTGAACAGCAATCCTCGCCGTTCACTGAGCAGGGCAGCCAGGACAGTCCCCATTGGAAGTAAAATTGATGATGTTAAGATGAAGAATAGTAGAACCTAGAGCAGTGGTTCCCAAACAGCCGGTGAACCCCTTTCACTAAAATGTCAAGTCTCGCGAACCCCCTCCTAAAAATGAATATTTCCAGGGATTTTCTCCTTTTACCTGAGTATAAATTATAAAAGCAGTGATCTTGGGAAATATAAAATTTGTTTTTATGACATGCTTATTACACACTATTCATTATTAATTATTATTTATCATTACAGTATTTTTATTACATTATGAAAACGAAACACTCCTCCAAGATCTCACTTTCGTAGCTTGTATCACTTTGAATAAGCCTGTTATAAGACAAGATTCCTAGGTTTCATCAAGGAGTATCAGATGTGAAACAGCATGAAAGTATTTAAGAAACCAACTCAGAGTTCCTCCTCCACAAGCAATCAGGGCTTGAGCAGTCCAGGCAAACAACGCATGTTACAACAAAGCTTAAACTTGTTCTTCATACTAACTTTAAAAACAATACTAGCTGCCTATTTAATTTTAAAAACAGCAAAAAATATCCACCTCCCTTTCCATTGCTTATAAGGAGTCTTGAAGTTGAAATCTCCTCAGTGTGATAGATACGCTTGCTTTGATCTGCTCAGCTCTTGGAAGTCCAGGGACTCCGGGCTGCTGGCCCCGTGCCGGGGTCCCTAGGGACAGTTCTGTCCGCCATTAGAGAATTTTTTCCCGAGAACCCCCTGTAACATTTCACGAACCCCAGTTTGAGAACCACTGACCTAGAGGCTGAGGCTGATACTGTTTTTCTTCAAAAGAGATCAGGTTGGCCTCCTGTTTTGTATCAAAATATCTGAATGTGAATCCTTTCCACCCCTGTCAACAGCGCTTAGGGGACAGAAACAACTCTGCCATTCCTGTCTAAAGTTTATCATTTAAACAAAACTTGTGATTTTTAAGCCAATCCTGTGGTTGTTCAGAGCCTGCCTGATCTGTGAATGCTTGGGGCTGGCGATGCTGGGAAGCCATTGCCAGGATTAGTAAATCTTTTGTGGAAGAGAGGGTGGAGGAGGTGGCCCCAGGGTGCCTTATGGTGCAGGTGGTCTTTACTAGGGCCTGGCTAGGTCCCACGGCTGGCTTTGGGGGGCCCTATGTTCCATCCAGTGCAGTGAGAGATGGAAAAGCTGACTTAGGTTAGCTGGTCTGGTCCCCTCTTGTGTTGGATTGTTCTGTATGTCCTAGCACTGTGCCCCGTCTGCTGCATTGCCCCAAGCAAGGACGGGAGCCCCACTTTCAGCAGAGTGTGCTGCCGGGACAGGTCTCTTACGCCACAAGCCCGCTTTTGGGGCACTCTCCCTAAGAATGCGTGCTGGGCGCTGGGGAGAATGCCCAGCTGGCACCCGTGGGTGAGTTCACCAAAGCTCCGTGAACACGAGGGGCAGGGCAGTTCCCCTACCTGTGAAGCAGCAGAGCTGCAGGGAGCGATGGGAAAGGAGAGTGCACGCAGCAAAGCACTTCTTGGCTGCATTGGTGGCAGGAAAAAAGCCCTGCTGTGACCTGGGGAATGTGGCTGTGAACAGATCTGGGCTCCTTGGGGCTTGGAAACTCCCTCCCTGAGCAAATCTCAATTAACGAGTGTTCTCCCCTCTTTCAGGCTGTAGAGCTGACAGCTTTCAAATCCTCAGGTAACGTCTCCCTCCATCATTTCTGCTTCTCTTTGTGCTTGGGATAATGTCTTGATGAGTGTATTAAAAATCCGATTGCACCCCTGCTTCTGTGCTGAGGAGGGCTGGTCGCAGAAAGGGAGATCCATGCACACAGGCAGAAATGTTCTCCTTATTCTGTTTTTAATTTCAAAAGACGGTGTTTTGTCGAGATTGCAACATTCAAACAATCTCAGCTCAGGTGTTTCTTGAAACACCGGGGAGGCCTATTGGAACTGGAAAAGGTTCCGAAAAGGGCAACAAAAATGATTAGGGGCATGGAATGGCTTCCGTATGAGTAGAGATTAATAAGACTGGGACTTTTCAGCTTGGAAAAGAGATGACGAAGGGGGGATATGACAGAGGTCTGTAAAATCATGACTGGTATGGAGAAAGTAAATAAGGAAGTGTTATTTACTCCTTTTCATAACACAAGAACTAGGGGTCCTCAAATGAAATTAATAGGCAGCAAATTTAAAACAAACAAATGGAAGTATTTCTTCACACAATGCACAGTCAGCCTGTGGAACTCCTTGCCAGAGGATGTTGTGAAGGCCAAGACTGTAACAGGGTTCAAAAAAGAACTAGATAAATTCATGGAGGATAGGTCGATCAATGGTTATTAGCCAGGATGGGCAGGGATGGTGTCCCTAGCCTCTGTTTGCCAGAAGCTGGGAATGGGCGACAGGGGATGGATCACTTGATTCCCTGTTCTGTTCATTCCCTCTGGGGCACCTGGCACTGGCCACTGTCAGAGGACAGGATACTGGGCTAGATGGACCATTGGTCTGACCCAGTATGGCTGCTCTTATATTTCTATGTCCACAGAGCAGCGTATGGCCCAGCCTCAATGAAATGCCACGTTTCAGACTGACCTGGTTCTCAGCTAGGAGACTCCCTTGCTCCACAGGCAGGACTAGTGCTGAGGAAGTGATGTTAGCTACCCTCGCCCATAGGCGCCGACTTCTGCTGGCGCCGGCGGGTGCTTGACCCCCCTCTGCCCCCAGCCCCGCCCTAATTCCGCCCCCTTCCCCAAATCCCCAGCCCCACCTCTTCCCCGCCTCCTCCCCTGAGCACGCCGCATTCCCGCTCCTCCCCCCTCCCTCCCGGAACTTGTTACGCTGTGGAACAGCTGTTTTGCAGCAGCAGGCGCTGGGAGGTAGGCAGAGAAGCGGGGACACGGTGTGCTCAGGGGAGGAGACAGAGGAGGAGGAGATCAGGTGGGGTGGAGGGGAACTTGGCTGCCAGTGGGTGCAAATCACCCACCAATTTTTCCCCATGGGTGCTCCAGAGTCGGTGCTTATGCCCTTGCCCTGTCCTGGTCCTCTTTGCATGCACAGCGCCATATCTCCTAGCAGCTCGCCATGTTGGGTCCCTTGCATCCTGTTTCACAGCTCACTGCTCTGCAAACCCCACCATGCCCTGCACATTGTACCTGCTGTACTCGAGACTCGCAGAGCCATGCCTTGCTAAGAGCGTCTTGTATGCCCTGCCCCCAGGGCCATCCCTAGCTATTCTGGGGCCCCTGTGGGGGGGCAGGGTGGAACCGCCTCCCAGCACTCACTGGTGGCGTGGCTGGGGCTTGGCCCTGCTGCCCTCCTCAGGCAGGTGGGGGCGGGGCTGGGGTGGGGCAGGGGCGGAGCAGGGGTGGGAAGAGGCGGGGTGGGGGCGGAGCAGGGGCGGGGGCCATAGGGAAGGGGCTGGAACAGCACGCAGCTGCGCAGGGCACCAGGCAATGCAGTGCCCCAAATTCCCTGGTGCCCTACGCAGCCGCGTACTTGGCGTATGGACAGGAACGGCCCTGTGTGCCCAGGCCACATCTTGCAATGCCCAGCCCCCTCCCCATGTTGAGCACCTCTGGGCTCCTGTATCCACACCTTTCTTGCCATCGCCACTACCCCTCCCTATGCAGCACCATGCCAGTCACCAACCGCTTTTGCCACACCCTCTGGCAGGAGCACTGCCACCGCCTGTAGATGCTTAGAGCAGCGTTAGGTGCAGGATGGGCCAGATCCATTGCGACGCTACTGGTCAGATCTTTAAAAGCGCCCCGCCCTGCCCCTGCACCCAATGCGTGGAGCTCTTCCCGTCAAAGCACGCCCCCTGGCTGCATGCCCATGCACATCGCTGGGTGTCAGGGCCCGGTGCTGCGGGATCACTTTGCTGCGAGGGGTGGGCACAGGCACATTTCAGCAGTACTAGCTCTTGGCAGAGACTTGCTGACAGGGAATGTTAAAGCCGCCCCTCCTCCACCACGAGAAATGGCTGTGACTGAAGTTGGTGACTGGGAGAGAAAATGCCGCTGCTGGCAGGTGAAGCCAGGGAGGGGGTGGGTTGGAAAGACCGGATTTGCAAACATAAATGCAATTGCTTCATGTCATTCTCTTCTGAAACGCCCTGCCTGGTGGGGGCAGATCTTGGCCCCTGTGGTGTGGAAACACTTCAGGAGAAGGAAAGACCAAGGCCAGACTAGAAATCGGCAGAATTAGAAACCTCCCCTAAGCTTTGCCTCCTCACTCTTGGGACCCCAGAAGGAAGGATGGGCTAGTCCTTCGGTGTCCCCTGGGTCCCATTCCCTCGCTCACCTTGGTCTTAGTGACTCCCTGCCTCGGTTTCCCCAGCTGTACAATAGCACTGCCCTACCCCCCCAGGCATGTTGTGAGGATAAATACGGTAAAGAGGACGGTGCTCAGATAGTGGGGTGGGGCTCTCTGTAAGTAGCATCAATAGACAGAGGCTGAATTCTCCCCTCTCCAGAGGCTGGTGCTCCCGCTGCCAAGGGAGGGGTTTCACCTGAGCGCTCTGCTCCTGTCCTTTGTCCCTAGCTAGGCACATCCCAGCTTCCCCTGGCCAGGTCAGCCCACCGTTCACTCCAGATTTGAGGAGTTTCCTGGGCACAACCAAAGGAATCTGCTCACGGTCACAGCTCCAAGGAAGCGAGGAGGCGAGGTGTCTGCCTGGTACAGGGGAGCAGTTTCCTGGGCAGCTGTTGAAGCTGGCCCCATCGGTTCCCAGGCAGCCACCTCTCTGCCTTGTCAGAAATAAGGCAAGGGACTTTGACCGGATTCCTCCATTATCTTCACCAATCTCCCACTATTGTGCTCAGCTGACCGAGAGCAGGTTTGCTGGCTGGGCTGTGTTCAGGGACCCAGACGTGCATCCGGGCGATGCAGACCCCTCTCTGCCTCCTGAGTGCATTTGTGCACTGGCTAGTGGTGCCAGAGCCATTTGTTAGCTTTGTGAAAGGAAAATTTGTCACCAGCTGATGGTGGTAAGAGCAAAATTCCTGCCTTGAGCTGTAGAGAACCTGTGGTTTTTAAGTTCCCAAAGCCAGACGCAGGATTGCCCCAAGGCAAAAATGGCGGCAAAGCATTGTACGCCCCATCCAGATCAGCCCTAATGTGCGGGTAAAGCTAGGGGTACCTCCCAAACCGCAGGGGTCTGAGGAAAGGTTCTTTCCCCAGGGAGCAGAAGTGAGGTGCAGAGGTCAAAGCAGGAAACTTGGCTTCCAGCCCAGATGCTGCAGGTGATTCACCCTGTGACCTGAATGTGCCTCATTCTCTTCCCAGTCCCACTGTCAGGGTGCAGGTGATGACATTTACCTCTCTCGGTAACGCCCTGTGAGAACTTCAGGAGACAAACCACTGACATGTGCCCCGTATTATTGCGGAGATGAATAGCCAGCCAGCCAAGGAGAGGAGAACTGATGAGAAGTAGATTGCAGACAACAGAAGTCTTGGGCTGGAGAGGGAGGGTCTTAGGACCTGGGGGCTTCTCCGCAAGCCCCAGAGGAATGGTCAACTGGAAATTGCAAAGGATTGGGTAGAAAAGTATAGGGCCTTTCCTAAAATGGCCAGTAGGCCAAAGTCTCTTAAGAAGCCAAAGAAAGTCTCAGTTTAGTTCTGTGCACCCGCGAGGCTGCTGATTGAATTGCCGTTCTGCCCCTAGAACAGTGGCTGTTGTATTGGGTTGGCTGGCATAGAATCAAAGCAGCATAAAGCATGGCCGCTTTGTCTTTATAATCACTAATGATTATTAATTAGTAACACTGCCTGGCTGGGGTGCCTGGCGCTGCCTTCCTGGAGAAGAATCTTAAAGCACTTTACACCCCTGCAGGAGTTAAGGCTCACGGCACCCCAGGGAGGTAAGTCAGGACTGTTCCCTCTATTTTACAGCTGGGCAAATGGACCGAGACTTTTCATAGATTCCAAGGCCGGAAGGGGCCACTGTGATCATCTGGTCTGACCTGCTGTATGACACGGGCCAGAACCGCCCCAAAATCCTTCCTAGGGCACATCGTTTAGACAAACTTCCCATTTTGATTTAATAGTGGTCTGGGATGAAGAATCTACCACGCCCCTTGGTAAATTGTTCCAGTGGGTAATTACCCTCACTAGGTAAATGACTTGCCCAAGGTAACGCAATCCGTTAGTGCCAGAGCTGGGCTGTTGCCAGGCCGGTAAGCAGTGCTCCCTGAATGCGAGAACATAGCTGCACACAGGGAGTGCTGACGTTTCTTCACCGCTGATGGCAGAAGCCCAGAGTCTTGCACATGTTTAGGCTCCTAACTTCAATGGTGATCAATGGAGCTGTCCAACCTGTGAATCTTGCTTACCTGAGCCTTGGGTGAGACTGAGCCTTGTCTTGCTGGGCTTGCAGTTTGGCCAAGGCATCCTGTTCAGCTCAGCATGTGAGAGACTTCTTACCCCCGGTGCATTAGCAAGCCCCACTAATGCACACCTCAGACTGTTCGGATGCGTTTGAGGACTTCTGAAGCCAGCAGTTAGACAAAAGGAGGGCTTTGTGCTGCCTCTGGCATTGAGGGAGACAAAATGTATCAGAGTAAAATAAAATTTCCTTTCTGGTTTAAATATTCAGTGAACACAAAAGCCTCTGCACAATGTACTTTGTATCCTAAGATAATTTGTGTCCCTTTCTATCTCACAGTCAAACATTCAGTTCTCAAATGCCCTGATGACAGT